TCTTGGTGGTAATAAGAGTCTCACGGTCTTTCCTTCCCCGGGCTGGCCTTGAACCGCGATCCTCAGATCCCAGCCTCCTGCGGAGCTGGGCTGACAGGCGGGAGCCACGGGTGCCGGGCTGATGCTCTCCATTTTATTTGCTTCCCTGTGTGGCTTTTCTTGGCACTGGCTTTGCCAGTCACTCTCCTGATACCTTACGTGGAGCCGTGGCCCGAGTGGTAGAGCGCCAGCCTTGAGCCAGAAAACCAGCAAGGAAGCAGGAGGCCTTGAGTTAAAGTCTGGGTGCTGGCTTGCACGGGGTGTGTGCACGCGGGTCTCAGTGCGGGTCTGTCTCCAGTGTCCGGGACGTCAGGCCTCCGCAGACCGTGTCAGGAGAATCTCACGCGTGTGGAAGGGGCGCTAGCCCGGCGGCACGAGGCCCAGGAGGCCCAGCGGAGGCTGGAGGCTGCGGTGGAGGCCCTGGCGCGGAGGCTGGAGCAGGAGACCAAAAAGCAAACGCAGCTTCGCCAGATGAACCTGCGTCTGCAAGACGCCCTGGACAGAGCCACCAATGCCACAGGTGCTGGGTGTGTGTGTCTGTGTGAGAGCATGTCCCGGGACTTGAACTCAGGGCTTTGGCGCTGCTCCTGAGCATCTTTACACAAGGCTGGCGGCGTTCTACCAGTTGAGCCGCAGCTCCACGTCCAGCTTTTTGCTGGTTCATGGGAGATAAGAATCTCAGAGGTTTTCCCATCCGGGTTGATTTTCAACTACGATCCTCAGATCGCAGCCTCCCGAGTCACCGGGATTACGGGCATGCACCGCCACGCACAGCCAGTCTAGAGCGAGGGTCTGCTGGGGCTCGTGTCCTGGGGGCCCTCTGGGTACTGATCGGGCCCCGGCCCCCCAGGCCGGTGCCCCCAGGACTGGATTTGGCACGCCCACAGTTGCTACCGGTTCCCCCCGGGGCTGCGGAACTGGGAGAAGAGTCGGCAGCAGTGCTTGGCCCTGGACGCTCGGCTGCTGAAGATCAGCAGCGCGGAGGAGCGGGTAAGCTGCGAGGAGCACTGGGGGGCGAGCAACAGTCGCAGCCGGCCGGGACTGGCGAGCGGCGGGGGGTGGGGGATTCCAGGGTTCAGGGCGGCTCCCGCCGGGCACCCCAGCTGCTCAGGAGGCTGAGGGCTGAGGATCGCGGTTCAAGGCCAGCCCGGGCGGGAAAGCCGGTGAGACTCCGATCTCCAGTCAAGCACTCAGAAAAATCTGGACGTGGCGCCGTGGCTCACGCGGTAGAGCACCCGCTTGGAGCCAAAGAAACCCAGGGACAGCGCCCCGAGTTCAAGCCCCAGGCTGTTTTGCTGATGGTTGACGACCACAAGAGTTTCCGGGCCTTTCCTGCCCAGGCTGGCTCGGAGCCTCGATCCTCGGATCTCAGCCTCCTGAGGAGCGAGGAGGACGGAGGTGAGGCCCGGGGGGCCGGTCAGGCCTCACGACCTCTGACCCCTCGCCCCCCCGCAGGCCTTCATCCAGCGAGCCGCCTCTCACTCCCGGCTCTGGGAAGATGGCTCCCCCTTGCCGGCCCGTTCGTAAGTCTTGCCCTTCCCCTTTAGACGTGGGTGGTGAGCTTGCCACTCCTTGCTGAAACCTCACACCAACACTTTAGACCCCAGGCCCAGTCCAGGAGAGTCCTACATTAGTACCAGCCACGCTCCCCCACAGGCCAAACAAAGGGAGCTGGTGAGGGGCGGGGGAAGGAGGTGGATTCAGGGCAGTGGTGGTGGGGGGGGGGCCGACAGCGCCTGAGGACTCTCCAGCATCTTCAGGTGCAGACACGGGCTTCAGGTTCAACAGGGGGGGGGGGGGACAGGGGTGGGAAAGGTCTGCTGAGTGACCAGCGCCGGGCCCCAGACGAGGCCTGGCTGACCTTGAGCGCAGTCTTTGTCCTTGGAGGAGATCTGTGGGATCGCTGTCCTGGGTTCCCAGGATGGAGCAGGAGGGAGGTGAGCTCCTGAGTTTGGGCTGTTCGCTTTGAGGTGTCAGAAGAAGGCTTGGCCCCTGTGAGGGGTGGTTTGCCTGCCACACGGGATGCTGCTTCTCCCGGAATCTTCCGGAAGCAATCGCAAAGGGGCACCAGTGTTAGAGCTTGAACTCAGGGCCCGGGCCGTGTCTCTGAGGTTTATCACCCAAGGCTGGGTGCTCTACCGCGTGAGCCAGGACTCCCCTCCTGGCTTTTTGCTGCCTCATTGGAGAGAAGAATCTCGTAGCCTCTCCGGGCGTGGGCTGGTTCTGAGCCACGTGCTCCTCTCAGATCTCAGTCCCCGGGACTACAGGCAGGCACCGCCAGCTCGGGCTGTGAACCTGACGTCTCTTCTCTGTCCGTCTGTCTTCTGTCCCGGTGCAGATTCAGGCTGCAGGGCGCCTTTTCCCAGAAGTACCCATCGGGCACCTGCGCGGATGCATTCAACACGGAGCATTTTTTGCAGAGAATTGCATCTTGGCCGCGTTCAGCATATGCCAGAAGAAA